CGTCTAGCTCTTCTAGCTTCTCTCACACACTTGGTTAGTTTGCGCTACAAGCTTCTAGCTTGGCTTGCTCCACAAGCTTTGAAGCTTAGCTTGTTTCACAAGCTTCCAAGTTACTAGACCAGTTAGCTTGAGTGTAAGAAGGCTAACCACGGTTCTCCTTGAACCATAGTTAGCCTAGCTTGCACCACAAGCCACCTCCTCGCTATATAAGTTTTTTTCTTCACTTTGTAAACATTTTTGATGCATATATTGAGAGAATTCCGAATTTACCTCTGAGTTTTCTTTCTTCCAAAAGTCTCAAACCTCATTGATTTCAATCCATTTCTCTTATCCTCTTCATACAAGAGTGTGGTGAGATTTGAAGTGGCAAATCTTCTTCCAAAGAGTGGGGCCACTTGAGAGTGTTCTTCACCATTGTTGGTGAGTTCCAAAGCTTCATCCACCATAGGAAGCTTTGGAGAAGCTTACGGAGAACCAAGGAGCAAAAGGTCTAGGGAGAAGCTTGAAGAGGAATCAACTCCAATTCGGTTCCAAGTCAAGTTTCCATCATCGTTTGTATTCCTTTATGTACAAAGCCTTTTTATATAAATAAAATATCCCTTTTCTTTCTTTTCTCCCTTATCCATTAATAATTATGCTTTTTATTAATGTTTGTTAAAATTTAAACAAGTCTAAAAGAAAGAAAAATGAATGACCCTCTAGGTCAAAAACCCGCAAGAGGCAACCTATTAAAAAATTAGGGTTCAATAAAAGAGAAATGAATGATCCACTAGGTTGAAAACCCGTAAAGGGTGGCCTAGGCAAAATTTAGGGTTTTAAAAGAAAATGACCCGCTAGGTTGAAATTCCATGAAGAGCGACCCAGGCAAAAATTAAGGTCTCAACTAAACAAGGAAAGGGGAGACCCTAAAATCAGCACAATGCATTGCCCATAATCATGATGGTTCACTTAGAAAAGACGGAGAAGAAAATTCACCTTCTAAAAATTGAATCAAACATATAGTGTGCATTATAGGGCATATCACACACTTAGAAAAAAAAATTTATCCAAGGGGGATTATTTCAAAATATGTAAAAAAAAAACTGACATTTTGCATATCATAATCAAGTGATCAATAGATATGTAGAAAAAGCCGAAGCTTAGAACAAAAAGTTTAGTTCCCCATCAAAAATAATAAATAAATATCAATGTCGAGTTGTAGTTGACCAGGCTACTGGATAACAAAGATCTAAGACTAGGGGCACAGTTTTCCCTCATTCCATAAGGAAAGCAAAGATATATCAACCAAGAAGGCTACTGGATGGTCAGGTCCACCTCCTAATGAACTTGGCTAAACATAGCCTTCTTAGTGGCACAACATTGAGCAAGGTCAAAGCATGATAATCCCCAAATGGGTACTTGCCTAGCAAGAGTCCAGTACAATAAGCACTTGGGGCATACAAATCTCCCTGATGACGTGGTTCATCAAGCGTTTGACATTGATTATCATCGTCCCCAGTAGCATAGGTCTACATCCTAATGACATTGTTTTTCATAAATTCAATAGGGGTTATCATCTTCTCAAACATTTATACCAAGCCTGAAGAGACTTTTAGGCAAATAATAGTCAAACACCGAAAGCATCCCTAGTAGAAATCGAGCCTGAAGAGGGTTTGTCAGTAATACTTATATCTTAGAATTACACGATCCATGTTGGATAAACGCCTATTAAGAGGCAAGAAAGCCTAAATAAACAATTTACCCCCCAACAGAGTTGTTCTCAATCAAGAATTTTTCCTAGCAAAGAGGCAACTTTTAGATTATCGTCGTTGTTGGACTTTTCTTGCCTAAAGTTAAGAGGCATTATCAACATTGATTTCTCAGCTCAACATAGCTCATGAAAGCATATCCCCATTGGAGCAACCAAAATTTTGCCCAGCCAAAGGGTAACTTGTAGAACCTTGTCATTGTTGGACTTACCCACCTAATTAAGGTCAAGAGGCATCTTCAAGATTGATTCCTTGATTCAACAAAACTCACACAAAGCACCAAATTCCCCCAGTGGAAGGAACCAAGCCTAGAGAGGCTTTAGCAAAAGAATACTTGAATTTCAGAACTATATAGTCCCCAACGGATAACTGCCTAAACAAAGGCAAAATACTCAAAATTAGGCGCATTAGAAGTATCCCTTCTTCGCATCGACAGGCATCGTTTGCTTTATTGCTTCCCAGCACTCCCACCTAGTAGCAAGCCAACAATAGAGCTCACCAAGACATCACCAGTTACTCTCTCCAATTCCACATTGGAGAAGTGACACAACACAATTATTATCACCCTATTGAGAGGATGATCTCCCGCCCATCAGCACAGGGGCATTTCAGATAAGATGTATATGTCTTTACAAGACAATCTTTGCCTAAGAGAAGAGGTAATTCAGGTAAAAGAAACCATTCACGAGCGAGGAGTAGCTTAGAAAGAATACTCACAAACCAGGAGTGACATGTAAAGACATACTCACAAGCTAGAAGTGGCTTAGAAAGGAATACTCACAAGCCATGAGTGGCTTAGAAAGGAATATTCATAAGCTAGGAGTGGCTTAGAAAAGAATGTTAACAAGCCAAGAATGGCTTAGAAAGGAATACTTACAAGCCAAAAGTAGCTTAGAAAGGAATACTCACAAGCTAGGAGTGGCTTAGAAGGAAATACTCACAAGTTAGGAGTGGCTTAGAAAGGAATACTCACAAGCTAGGAATGGCTTAGAAAGAAATACTCACAAGGCAGGAGTGGCTTAGAAAGGAATACTCATAAGCCAAGAGTGGCTTAGAAAGAAATACTCACAAGCCAAGAGTGTCTTAGAAAGAAACACTCATGAGCTAGGAGTGGCTTAGAAAGAAATACTCAATGGTCGACAAGAACTGCTAATCCTTGTCTAGCCTAGAGAGGTTGAGCTTAAGGAATTCTCACCCCTTTGTAGGCTTGAAGAGGCCACACAAAAATACTCAACGGTCACGAGAACCACTGATCCTCATCCAGCCTGGAGAGGTTGAGCTTAAGGAATACTCTAGCCCCCAGTAGGCCTGGAGAGGCCACATAGAAATACTCAACACCATAGTGAGCTTAGAGAAGCTCAATAAAGATGAACTCAAATTGCTCAAGCCGTAGGACATCAACAAATCTTACCGAGCAATAGTATTTACACCTAGCTTGGAGATGGTTATACAAAATACTTGACCTTTAGAGAATCTGCTAGCGTTAGAGATTTGAAGACTTAGATAGATATGTATCTACTTCTTTACTTGCCTCTAGAATAGAAAGCGCAAGATTTTTTTCTATTTGAAGGACAAGTAAATAGGAGTAGTTGTAGACACCAGTTTCTGTCTGGGATAAGAATCCAAAGATGGGAAGCTTCTAAAGCGAGAGAAGTGACTCTCAAGAAACCATGAATACTCCAGAACGTGTCGAGATGGAGTAGGAGGCCTCCAAAAGACATTCCAAGGGTCAAACAACAAAGAACCAAGCTTGGAGGCATGAGAACGACCATTTTGGTTATGAAAATGGCCATTCCCATGATTAACCAAAATGGTCGTTCTCATGCTGACTATGGTCGTGCCAATTTGAGTTTTTCCATGTAAAATGAGGCTAAAAAAGACCATTCCAACAAGAGAACAACCGTTATATGCTTTTGGCCTCTTTTTGAGCATTTAATCACCCTTATTTCAAGACACAATTCATTCTCTCTTCCCCATTGACTCTTTTCAGAAGCACTATGAGTAAAAAGACTCACTAAGAGCCTAATTAAGAGATCTCCAGTCTCTTTGGCAGAGATTTCATTATTTCTGTAGTATAAAAATCCCTCTTGAGTCATAGAGAGGTTCTTGTAGAGCAAGGAGATTGCCAAAAAGTGCCCCCTAAACGATTTTACGATAAGACAATATTAAAGCTTGCCTCAGAGGTTTCAAAATCTCTTTTTCTCTCTTTTTTTCTATTTATTTCTTTAATTTATGGTTTTCCTTAGGATATAACATCATGTAGATAGTTCATTACTTTATATGTGTAATTATGGGGGTAAAAATATTAATCATTGCTTTATTTTGTTAATAAATATTTCATAGGATACTAATTTTAAGCGTTGTGGGGCGCTTAACACCTTCTCCACACGTAAGCGACCACTATACTTAACTATAATTGCAAAAAACTTTTTTTTTTCTGATGTTTTAAGCAAAATATCGGTGGCGAATCAAAGAACTTTTTTCCAAACCATTGACGAAGGTTTAGTTCGGTCTTTGGGCATTTCAATGTCAATGAGAATTTTAAAACGAAAGTCGAAACAAGCCATCTTTTTTAGGTCGGTTTCTGACACACCCTTAGGTAAAAACAATACAAACACAAAATTACCTACACTACTTGACCTAAAACACAAGGTCAAAATAAAGGAAAATATAAAAAAAAGAATGAAATATGAAATAAGCTTATAGTTCAACTGAAGCTTAAGCCTTCTTCTTTTACCTTGAACCCATTCTTTTTTGCATTCTTCAAGAATGATTTTCCATCATTTAACTTATTGGGGTCCTTTAAACTTTTTCAATGACTTCCATTGATATTTGAAGTCATTTATAACACACAAGAAAAGATAGGATTTCCCTTAAGTAACACTAAAAGTGGTGTATAATATTATAATTTTGTGAGTATAAAATTATTAATGATTTCAATTACTATTTTGACTATATTAAAAAGTTAAAATGTATTATAAAAAATAAATAAAAATATATGTACACCAAAGCCAAATAACAACCTTATCTATTATTACAGAGTTATAAATGTCATAGATATGTGATAAATAAAAATTTAAATTATAAAAAAAAAAAAAAAAAATTGCCCTACAAAATAGCCGTTATCCAATACAGAGTTCCACGTGGTGTATATCTTTTCTGACATGTGAATGTGGCGTGCCTCCACGCGCTGTTGCGGCGTGTTGGATTGATGGCGGTTCTTGACAGGGGTCCACCAAAGAATGATATTTGGTAACGAACGGAAGAGGCTCGGCCAGACATGGTAATTGGTAAAACTTAAAAAAGTCCAAATGAAAACAACAGTTGAAGGGAGTAACGTAATCTCATCTCTCCACCAACATTCATTCCCGAGCTGAGTCACCTCGCCGCTGCGCTTTCAAATGGGTGCTGCAGAACCTGTATGTGTGTTACTGCTTTCAAATGGGTGCCATTCGTGCCAATTTTTAATTTTTATTTTCCTTTTGGCGTGGTAGGTGGTGGTTGAGAGAGGGAATGAAAATGAAGCTGTGGCAAGGGAGAAGGAACAAGACATGGAGAAAGGGGAAGTGGTTGTTGAAGGGAGAAATGATCATGAAGAATCTCACCTCTCGAGTCTCCACAGGTTGAACCCCACTAACCCTTTGAGGATTGTGATTAATAGCTCCACCAGAGTTGCAACTCCTTCTCCTGTTCAATCTCAACGATCTCACACTCACACTCACACTCACACGCGCTCCACTCCAATTCCACAAGTCCAAGTATTCTGTTTTTATCATTTTTCTCGATTTACATGTTTTTGCTGCAGATTATGAGGGGTTCCTTGAGTTTGCATTAATTTTTCTGAATTTTTTAATGTTAAAATGTCGTGTTTTTGCTCTTTACTTTTTGGACAGCACCCCAACCCGGCGACCCTGAATTCCAGAAAATATACCAACAAAATATCCTTGTTTCTCTTTGTCCTCCACTTGTTTTTAGCTGTTGCGCTGGTGTGTTTTCTTGTGTTCAAGGGAGTTCAAGGGCTTATCCAAGAATCAGAATCCAACAAGAGGAAAGAGAAAAACGTGTTGAAGTACTTTCTTCCCCAAGTGGAGGCTGCATCTTTTATGAGCATAATCCTTGCGTTTATTTGGCAAGGGGCGATTAGAAAATGGCCCACTTTTATGCTTCATTTCACACTGTGGTTTACTTTTGTAATGTCTCTGGCTGCTGGGGTTCTCCTTATTTGCTTCCAAAAGCCTGCCACTGATGGTGTTGGAGTCTGTTTCATTGCCTTTGCAATTGGCAATGGCTTATATGCTTGTTGGGTTAGTCATAGAATTAAGTTTTGTTGTAAGGTCTTGAGTTTGGCTCTTCAACCTGTGTCCAAATTCCCTGATCTGAACAAACCCACTTATCATGTGCTTGGGGTTGGATTCTTGTGGATATCTCTATGGATTTTAGCAGTGATTGGAGCATTGAACTTCTATTTTCCTCCTTTGATCATCATTGCATTGGTGTTAAGTCTGGCTTGGACTACTGAGGTCATGAGGAATGTTGTTAACATCACTGTTAGTAGGGTTGTTGCCTTGTATTACATTAGAGGAATGCAATCTAGCACCCAATTTTGCTTTCTCAGAGCCCTGACTCGGAATCTTGGAAGTGCTTGTTTGGGGTCTCTCTTTGTGCCTACAATAGAAGCCCTGAGAATTGTTGCCAGGGGACTGAATTTGCTTGAGGGAGAAGATGAGTTCATGTTTTGTTGTGCTCATTGTTGTTTAAGAGTCATGGAATCCATTTTCAGAAATGGCAATGGCTGGGCATATGTACAGGTAACTTCACAGATAAAACAACAAGTGATAGGTACGCATAACTGCAATATATGAAATTCAGTCTCAGGTTTATGGTATGTATGTGATGCCAATTTCTTAGTCTTCAAGTAGTGTTAATGTTAAGTTTTCCTTGTGTAGCTTATAATCAACATGTTTTGGTGGTTAAAGAATTCTGAACTATAAAATCTGCTTTTATTTATTTTTATTGGTTAGTTTTCTCAAACTAATATTTATTTCTAAGCTTGATATTTTTTGGGTTTAATTGATACTCCTTGGATTCTTTTGTCGTTGTCCCTACCGAGTTTAAAACTTTGTTGTGGCCATTTCTGTTGTTCTGAAGTTATTACTGAGCAATCACCATCTGACTGACTGTGCTTCTCAAACTGGTCCTTCCTCCAACTTTATTAGACTGTACATTCAGCACGATCAATACATAGTTTAAGACAAATTATTTAATTAAGTGGTTTAACTGATTTTAAATTCGTGGTACCAGATAGCAGCATATGGAAGGGGTTTTGTAGAGGCATCCCAGGTCACTTGGGCCCTCTTTGAGAAGGAAGACATGGTGTCAATCGTAGACGCAGATATAACCAGCTCAATTTGCTTCCTCACTGGAGTTTGCAGTGGCTCTATTTGTGTCATTGTTGTGGCTGCTTGGACCCATAAAGTACACCAAAGTTTCACAGCCACCCTGTCCCTCCTCACATTCTTCATTGGATACCTTTTGGTTGGTACCCCTTATTTGACCACTTTATTATTATTGTTATTATTATTAATTTTATTAGATTTAATTACCTGTATAATTTCATAAACTTTATTTTTTAGTCTCTAATTAAAAACATTCCATTTTAGTTTCTACACACATACCATTTTTGTTGTCTTTTTAATTCCTGTTGTTGTCTATTTTTATATAGATTAAAAAAAAATATGCAATATTGAGATTATTAAAAGGATAATTTTATGAGACTAGAGTGACTAAAAGGGAATAAAATGGTATGTGAAGAGACTAAAATGAAAACCTTTTAGTTATAGAGACTAAAAGATAAAGTTTATGAAACTATTGAGACTAAAAAGGTAATTAAACCTTATGATTATTCGCAATCGAATAATTAGCATGTGAACTAGTAGTCTTGATTAACATATGATAAACATTTTGACTTTGCAGACTAGGATTGCCATGGCAGTGCCGCATGCCTGTGTGAGCTGTTACTATGTGTGCTATGCTGAGGATCCAGATAATAGATTGTTTGATAGAACAATTAAGGATCGTCAGGCCTTGTTAAAAACTGGCCGTGATGTGGTTCCTACGCCTAGGGGAATTAGGAGATATACAAGGACCTAAGTGCATAGTTTGCTTCTTTATTTTGATTGATTTTAGGACATGGTTTATGTGACCGTGAGACCAAAAGCTTTGAAATTGAAGTCAAATGTCAATTGATGGTGGCTGGCTGAGGAGGTGGCGTAGTTGAGAATGATCTGGCTTTAAGGGGTTGAGCCATTGTGGGAATCGAAGAAACGTGGAGCAAATGCAAAAGGTAATCAACTAGTCCACTAAAGAAAAGGACTTGTGGTCCCCTCCTTGTAGTGTTGTGTATATTTTTTTGCATGTATACTTTTAGGATATTCCATAAGGTGAAGTCCCATCATTATTTTATTATAAGATGTGCGTAGAAGCCACTAACTTTTTGTTTAATTATCCTTGCAAGTAGGGATGGCAACGGGGCGGGTACGGGTTTTATGATACCCGTCCCCGTCCCCGCGAGTCAAATTCATCCCCATCTCCGTCCCCGTACCCGTCGGGTATGTGGTTTTCATCCCCATCCCCATCCCCGTCGAGTATCGGGTATACCCGTACCCGTCAATTTTTTTATTTTTTATTTTTTGTAAAAAAATAATATTTTAAATTATTTTTTTTATTATATTATAATTATAATTAAGTTATTTTTCTATCTCATATTATAATAAATAATCACACATAAAAAAATATTAA